CCTACGTGACCACAGACAGTCCCTAGGGCACTCCACCAGATGATAACCAGTAAGTACAGATAACATATAGATCCAACAGTGCACTATAACATAACAACATCCTACATACCATGATACCGAGCTAACAGATCACTACAGTATAACAACATCCTATCTACCAGGATACAGATCTAGCAGATCACTACGACAACGCAACATACTCGATACCAGGATACAAATCTAGCATATCACTATAGCATAGCAACATACTTGATACCAGAATACAGATCTAATAGGTCACTACAGCATAACAACATACTAAATAGCAATAATCCAAGAAATACATGACCGTATATAATCAGATGTGAGATAAACACCCGGACAGGTGACCTTACTCTAGAACCACAACCAAACAAGGAATAGGTAAGAGAGCCTAGATCAAGATCTGTCAGTCTATCCTACATGACTATATACGGTCCCTAAGGCATCCCTCTACTAACAGATAACCGAAACTAATAGGCCGACATTGGTGCCTTCGACCCACGGTACAATGAGGCGAAATTCACCTGAATTGAAGAACTCTGAACACTGAGATACGACCCCTTTTCAACACTGCTTGCTCCCGCGAATCCACTAACACCGTTACCAGATAGAATCTCAATCAATAGCCCAAAATCCTCAAGTTTGACCCAAAGTCAAACTTGGTCAAAAAGTCAACGGTCAGCAAACCCTCACGACGTGACCATCTATGGTGAGCCACTACAGGACAATATAATCGATTCTGACCACCCTCACGACTTGACATGCATCTTCTCACGTCGTGAGATCTGTCTGAATACCATATTGCTCCAAAAACGTCTTAATCCGTTAAGCCACTAATCCATCTGTTCCAGGAGGCTTCCTAGCACTCCAAGGATCATAAAAATCGATGCTTTAAGGTCTTGTATGTCCAATACAAGACTTGAGCTCAAACTAGGTCATTCATGGAGAAAAAAAAAGATAAATTCTCAAGCATGGACTCAAACATCCTCCAAACTTCAAATCCATGACATACAAGCACCAAGGGACCCTAAGGACCCAAAAAGTTGCCAACTCTATGGAGTCCCAACACTCTAACTCTAAATATCTCTGATAAATATGCATAAAACCTTAGATCTAACAACAAGGAAACATAAAGCTTGGATCTTGATTACTCACATTGGTCCAAAAGTGTGGCTAAAGGTTGCAAATGAAGCCTCCAAGCTGCAACTATGCTTTCATGGTGATATCTTCTTCTTCAAACCTCCAAAACTCCACCAAAAGCTTAAGAAACACAAGGAGAGGCTAGGGTTAGGGTTTTACTGAGTTTAGGGACGAAGGAGGCTGGTTTGGAACCCTAAAATGAAGTTTATGGGGTTTAAATACGATGGAAACCCTAAAAGATCGTGGGCTTGGGCTGCAGCGTACCTCACGTCGTGAGCTCAGCTTAAATTAGAATCTTCATTGTTCGTTGCTCACGTCGTGACCTCTCTATGGCTCACGTCTTAGGTCTTGGTTTTTCCCAAAAACCATGCCTTGACTCCTTGAAACCCTAAATCGACCCGATCTGGAAAACCGGGTGTTACAGGTGGTGTTTTGGTTGTTCGGGAAATGGTGAAGGAGGGTGTAAGGGTGTTTGGACTTTGGTGGTTGTTGATTAAGGTGGCATGGGAGATGGTTTATAAGGATGGGATACCACCTTAATAGCCATATTTGATGGTTATGTTGGTTGTCAAACTTATTTATATAGAGCCTACCATAATGGTTGAAAGAGCTCAAAAGAAAATTTTGTTAATTAACAAGTTTTCTTGAAAAAGTTTTTGAGTGAAAAAAAAAAAAAAAAAAAAGCCTTTCAGAGTAGGAAGAGAGGTTTTATATAGCTTTTTTAAAATAAAAAAGTCTTGACACTTAATAAGGTAGAAATTTTAAGTTTTTAACTATAAGTCTATAATTATATACTTTATAAATAGTCTTAAAACAATTTTTTTTTTCGTTTACCACTTTGATCAAATAACATTTACCCATAATGTTCACTGTCGTAAATTATACTAAGTATATAACAAACTAAAGTGTATCAAAAATATAGAAATTGATAATATAGGGACTATACCGTCCATTTTATCATTATATAGGGTTCTAATATAAACTATACCTGTAACTAAAATCTTGAAGTTCACCTCTTTCTGTTTCTGCGTTGTTGTCTGCTTGTTAACAATAATTTGTCTTGTCGTTGCTTTGTGTGTTTTATTGCACATTCTTCAACAGTCCCATAACTTTTCAAGCTACGTGAATTCCCCAAAACAACCCTCAAAAGTCCCATCTTTATCTCAAATCTTCTTCCCTTTTCCCCCTTTGCCGCTTCCCATTTTTGACTTTAAAACACAGGGAAATCAACTTGTTTTATTCGATTGAAGAACAAGAAATCGGAGTTTATTCGGGAAGGAAATGAGCACAGGAGTAAGCACATTCGTGATCAGATGGATTAATTTTCTGACTATGGTATGCCTGTGAAATTCCCGAACAACTGTTTATAGAAATCTGAAACTTTTGCTTTGCATGCGCTCTAGGTGTTTGTTGAAATGCTTAAACCAGATTTTGCAGCAATCTACAACCTTTTCTTCTCGTTTTATATCTACAAAAGTGCTCACCAATGTTTTTTCATTGTGTAGTTTGTAGCTGTAGGTGTAATTGGTTTTGGCGTGTGGATTAGCGCTCATCATGATGGTTGTAGAAAGTCACTCACTCTTCCAATTTTGGGTCTTGGCGCTCTAATATTCTTGATGTAAGATATCTCCTCACATGTCTTAATCGGGAAAGAAAAACCTTTTTTTTCTGCAAACTTTTCTTTACTAAGTCATGTCCCATTTCTCAGATCAATTATCGGGTTTTTTGGCGCGCTAAAGAACAACTCTATTTTACTATGGATGGTATATTCTTTGCAGTCTCAACTGTTATTGTTACTGTTACTAGTAAATTGTTACTGAAAGTTTATATTATGATGCAGTATTTGATCATGCTTTGCTTGATTTTATTGGGAATTATTTTATTTACAGTATTAGCGTAAGTATATTTCACCTTTCACTATGGAATTCAACCCTCTTTACACATGAACAAAATTATGAAAAAAAAAATCTTTTTTCTTTTTTTGTAGGTTTATTATAACTAACAATGGCACTGGTCATAATGTTGTGGGTTTGAGGTACAATCTAAGTCACAATCTTTTTCACTCTTGTATTAATTACCTTTTGGTTTCTAATTTTCCTTTTTGGTTAGATTTAAGGAGTATCGACTTCAAGATTACAATACATGGTTTCTAAAAGAAGTAAGAAATGATTGTGAATCTAAGATTGTAAACATAAAATCTTGAAAATTAACTTTCTTTTTTTGTTTCTTGATTTTGGGGTTTAGTTGAATAACACACATAACTGGAAGCACTTGCAAACTTGTCTTGTGAAAGCTGATGATTGTAGTAACTTAGCAAAAAGATTCAAGGTTTGTATTTGATTGTTTTAGTTTTGTGGATTTGTTTCAAGAATGTGATGATAATTTTTTTTTTTTTAATTTTATTTTGCAGACTCTTAAACAATATGAATTGGCAAAATTAACTCCCATTGAAGCTGGTTGTTGCAGACCACCATCTGTGTATGTTGGCCAAAGCTCCAAATACAACACCAAACTATTAATAAAAACAGTCAAAAGGGTCGTCCAACTCTCCATTTCGTGTTAGTTCCACCAAATCCGGCGAAAATGACGAAAATACCCCTGAACTTTTTATCGGTTTCACTTTATGTTTTTACAATTTTGAAATCTAAGTGAAGTGCATAACAGTCATTTTAGCATTTTGATCAGAAATCTGTTCAAAATGACGAAAATACCCCTGAACATTAGATTAACTTTACTTGATGTTTTTTACAATTTGAAATCGAACTGCAGGCATAAGGGTCATTTTACCATTTTTCAGTACCATTGTCAGAAATCTGTCAAAAATGACAAAAATACCCTGGCATTCAGATTAACTTCACTTGATCTTTTTACAATTTGAAATCAAATTAAAGGGCGTAATGGTCATTTTACAATGCAGCCGCCATTTTGGTCAGATTTGGTGAAACCTCCTTGATACAATGGGTATCCATGTCTTTTACACTTGCTTTGGTGGGACAAAATTAAATTTTTTTGTCTCACTGACATTGTATATCAAATCCAGTACAATCTGATCTGTCATTTCTTATCCTGTTGAGTGTTGACTAGTCAAAATGTTGTATATATGTATAGGTGTGGCTACCCTGTTGTGAATGCCTCTTACTATGACTTGACCTTCCATCCAATCAGCTCCGATAAAGACTGCAAACTTTACAAGAATCGAAAACCCATCAAGTGCTACAACTGTGATTCCTGCAAGTAAGCTTTTTTTTTTTTTTTTTTTTCATTTCCCATATTTGTCTTATTATTTTTGGCTTATATAATCTTTTATCGTGCATGTATAGAGCGGGAGTAGCAGAATACATGAAAAAAGAATGGCGTGTGGTTGCTATCTTTAACGTGGTCTTGTTTGTTGTCTTGGTAAGTCCCAAATTTTCGATTTTTACTTGAAAATGTCTCAAAATCTTCAACTTATATTTGAACTTGATCTTTGATTGATTGATGTCAGACTATGATATATTTTGTGGGATGTTGTGCGAGACGAAATGCTGCAAGTAGCCATGACAAATCTTGAAACTTGAAGAATTGTGTGATTCTGAATTTTTTTTGCTTTTGATGTAATTGAAAACAAAAGTAATGTAAAGATTTCAAGAAATTTAGTAACAATTCCTTCATTCATGACTCCTTCTCCTTGGTTGATATTTTGGCATTTGCTCAATGATTGTTTCATATGTTTACAAGTTTGTAGAATCACAACGGAATGGCAAACAAGTTTGAGAAATTGCAAATTGGCAAACAAATATGACCTTTTTTTCCTTTCATACTAGACAATAGACATAACAAAAATGCATTCATATATGATTAGCTAGTAACAAAAAATAAAACCAAAATTGCATTCATATAAATAAGCAAAAACAACCAATGTGACTCAACAAATTCTCAATAAAAACTTAAGCAATAAAACACAAACCCATGAAAAAATAAATAAGTCTAATGCTTAGCACGAGAATAGTGATTGTCATTAGGGTTCCTCCTGCCACTAAAAACCGCCATGGCTTTCCTCACAGGTGGTTGCAAAGGCGCCTTCTTATCCGTATGATGAGTAAACATTTCATTTGTAGCAAAAATATCATCCGCCTATAAGTATAAAAACAAAACACAAAACATATATTATATAAGCTTTTATTCATAAACACTTGTGTGACTGTATCATGTATGTGGTTGGGAGGGTAGAATGGTAATTAACTAATTTCACCTCTTTGTTCTTCTTCTTGTTCTTGGGATGCATGAACCTTTGTGGAAGTTGATCCTCACGTAAAATAGGATTCTTTGTTATCGCATCTCTTCCTCCTTGTGGAAGAGGCAAAGAAAACTGCATAAATAAAAGTAAAAGCTCATTATAGCAACCTACTTTACTTTATTGAAGTATTGTAAATGTCATTTAGACACAAGGGCAAAATGGTCATTTCCTTTCGAGAACTAACCTTTGTGCCGCGCACCGATATACGTGGCCTACGACCTGCAATAATAGTTCCGTTTTCACCAACAGTAACAGCCACTTTCCTTAAAGTACCTCCATTCCCACAACTTGGACAAAAAATCCTACCGATTTCCATTGTCACCTTAAAACATGCATGACATTTCAATATCCACCTACAAAAACACAACACAGTACAATATTGTCATGTTCTGTTGTCACTGTCACTGTCACAGTACAATGATGTCATATTCACTTTCAGTTGTCACTGACACTGTCCAATGCATGTCAAACACAGTACAACTCTGTTTACAAAAAAAAAACCACAAACCTGTGAAGCTCACGTATCTGCATTCCACCTGGCGCGACTAACCGTAAGCCCATCTGTAAAATAACATTTTGCATTGCAAAATCAGCAGTGACACACGCGACAGTTGACTCAGAAAGTGATCTTAGCATCCAGCTTTGCTCACTGCTTTCATCATCAACAAATGATGATGCATCAACACTTTCATTCATCTCACTAATGGTTTCTGTTTCCTTTTCTTCATCATCTACAACAACCCAATTAGTCTCATCATTTTCAGAAGCTTTTAAAGACTCTTCTTCAAGCCTCATTTGATCTAAAACTGTCGAAAGATCTTCATCGCCATTGTTTCTTTCTTCTGAATTTTCATCGATCAGATCCGGGCATTTAGTATCATCAGTATGGTCTTCATTTTGGTTTTGCAAGTTTGCATCATTTTGAATATCCTTTTCAGTTGCTGACTCATACATTTCACGTCTAGCTTTCCTCCTTAAGAACCTCCTATGAGTGCTTCGACTAACAGCAGGAAGCCAATCATCTGTATCATCATCAAATTCCCCCTGAGATGCATCAATCCCATCTGCTACATTCTTTTTCCCTTCGATAACAATCTCTTTCTTCTTAGGGAAATACTTTCGATTCTCATTATATTGTGGTTCAGACCCATTTGCTGATGTGGAATCTTCATTGCTTTGATCTTTGTCTCCAGGAAGAATGTTCATGTTCAGATCTTTCAGAGGAAGGATTCTTGAATCGGGTCCTGATCCATCTCCAACTGTGTGTTCTAAAGCTTCCCATTGAGCTAAGTTAGGCACATTGGATCCCCATCCTGGTAATTCTTTCTCAGGAAGCCTCTTTACATTAACTGTGCGAATAGGTGGAGGGATATCTCGAAGATGGCTAGTTCCATGGATTTGGGACTCCAAGGTATGAGTCAAAGCAATGAGTTTGAGATCAACATCTGAGAGTGTTTGTAGATCTCCAGTTGCTCTTGCAAAGCTTACCACTGAAAAACGGGACACAAAAAGACATTTTCAGAAAACAGAATGCAAAATTTTTTGAATTTCTGCATCCTCTATATGTAATCAAAATGGAAAAAGTAGATTTGGTTACACTGAGTAGTTGCATAAAGACTGCTTTGATTAGCAAGTAATAACACAGATCAATAGCCTGCTATCAAATTGTATTAATCAATGGGTTTCTCTCACCTTGAAGAATATCTCAGCAAGGATATTTGATGTATTGAAAGGAATCACTTATAAGTTTGGGAAAAAGTCTATATGATCCAAACAACATATTGCTTTAACTATAGATTAGACGCCTGATAGTTCTTATAAAACCATGACTTGTATTCTAAAAGACTAAAACCATTAATTACTTCAATCAATCGTGTAAAAAAATCACAAATTTTAACAATTAAGCTTCCTCTGTTCGAGTAGTTAATTGAACTGGAAAAAAGGTGTTAACACGGACCTTTTTTAAGTGATTCAGGGGAAGGTTCCATGGTGTCGACGGTGAACGGTAGGAAATTGAGGCGGTGCCGAGAAGTAGGGTCCCGTACTTCCTGGATAACATCGGAAACGGAGACAAACTTGTCGGCAGAGTTGTGAAGCTGTTCTCCTCCTTGTATGATGGCGTTTGCATCCACCACGGCGACGGCAATGCCTTTGGTGGACTTACAGCTTCCGACAAGAGCTGCAGCGGCCGATTGTGACTGATCATGGTGGTGATTATTAGGGTTTTGCGGTGGAGGGTTTTGCTTTACAATGTTGCTCCAGTGAGTCGATTTTGGCACCTCCATGGTTTTGACTGTCTGCGAATAATAGAGCAAAACCCTAGCAATATATTAGAGGGTTTCTTTTCTTGTTTTATATTAATTAAAAATGAAAAGGAGAAGATAAATATAGATTAAACATAAAATATAGATATAGATAAACATATAAAAAAGGGAATTCGAGTAATCTAACCATTTTTTTTTGTTTTTTTTTTAAATATAACAACTTTTTTTTTTTTTGAAAACTAACAATTTGGTCCGGAATGGGTCATTCCGGATTCGAAAACTAGCACAAACTCAATATTGTAGCTCAATGTTATATATGGGTCCCGCACACAAAAATCTAGAATAAGCGTTCAAGAATTTGCAAATCCGAAGCAAGATCTACCCGCATTTCGGACCAAATTTTCAACATGAATTCGTCAAACTAAGTAAGTTTAACACTTTAAGTTAATTTGCGTTTGATTTTATAAAACGATTTACGTATTCCAGAATTGTCTGGAATGGTCCGTAATACGGGGAATAACTCTGGAATATTATGATTGAATCTGAATTATCCTTTTTTTTGTTTTTCTCGTTGTATGTGTATAATCTCGTGTAAGTACTTTGTAGTGTGTTTTGGATCGCTTGTTTTAGTCCGAAATTAGGTATTGTAGGGGTTCCGAAATGGTAATGTAGGTCCGGAACACGAAGAACGTGGTCCGGAACCCGATGAACTATTCTAGAATGATGTTACGGAATATCAATCTTGAATAACTATACTTATAATTATTTTCTAAGTATTGTTTAATAACTCATGTTAGTCCAAAGACGAGTTTGCGTGGATGTTGTTAAAAAAAATGGGTTTTACGGACGACAAAGTTGTATTCCATTTACAATAGCTTTCGGAATTACGTCCGATAATTGTAAAATCGAAAAACAATAATTTTATAAATTTAATTTATTTTTATGGTAATGTATTAAAATATTCTTGGAATTTTATTTTTGCAGATAAAAAACGAAGATGTTGAGTTTCAAAATAAGATAAAATAAATAAATAAACCAACAAAGGCACCTATAAAATTAAGAAAGAAATCAGAAAATATGTTAAACTTAAATTGAAAGTAGATAGAAGTCCGAAAGATGGCACTAGAGCAAATGCAGACATTATGATAGACTAGTTGCAATTATGTTCTTTTTGTTGTGGATATGTTTCACCAAGTGTTTATTATTATTATTAAATACTTTATGCACGTTGGTTTTTAAATAATATATTAATATAATTTTAGGTATATTCTATTTTCGGTCTCCAACATCCAGTGACTCGAACGATGAGGATGAGTTACCTATAGAGGATGCTATACCACGTCTTGAAGACGAGCAACAACATCTTGTTGATACGATTGCATTAGAAATGATTCGTGATTATCAACGTGCGAAACAACGAATGGTAATATTGGAAATCTCGTTACCGCCTTCACCCGCTGAGGGGCGGAAAAAAGTAGCATTGTATAACATGCAAATGCTCCTCATTACCATGTCTGAAGATATACGACAATTTGTGAACACAATGGACATCATCGAAGAAACATGTAGGACAACTCCAACTATAAAAGATCGAGTCGAATTGACTGATAATGGTTTCAAACTAACTGAGACCTACATGGAATTATTTGAAAATCATGTAGAAACGGCTAGTTTACATCGGATGCAAGCTCTCAGTTATCGGCCATAAATGTAATCTAATTTTAAATATGAATATTGTAATGTCTTTTGAAACTAAATTTTGTAAAATGAACGATATGATTATCTAAAATGATAGTTATCCTTTTTTCATTAACATTATTGCAAAGAGCGTTATACATCCTAATACATACTTAGATTGGTTTCCACAAATTAGGAAATTGTAATGGATACATATTTTGTTCCCGGTCAATAAAATCTCCTCCAATTCCAACAACATCTGTTAGACGGTCCCGCTCTGCATGAAGCTTATTGATCTCCTCATTTGCATTTTCAATCCACTTCTTAGCTTGTTTCACTTCTTTCATAGCTTCAACTACCCATTTTTCTTTTTCATTTACTTGTTCCGCTAGATCGTCTGCACGTTGATTTAGTGTGTAACTTCTTTCAGGGCCCCCTTCGTTTGCTTCTTCAGCAGCCTTTATAGTTTGGAAAACGTCATCAGACATTTTATCCGGGAGTGGGAAATATGGGCCTTCCGAAAACGGGTTATTATCTGAACAAACATAACAATCTTCTTCTTCACAATGCCAAACACCATCGTGAGATGAACTCATTCCAAAAAAAATTCTACATTTAGGATGCATGCTAGGTGCATTTTAAGGTCCAAAAGCAATGTCCGGAACAAGTGTCTAAAATAGCCATTCTGGAAAGTGGCTCCGGAATGGGGGTTTCAGAATGAGGTTCTGAAATACTGTCAGGAATCTATGGCATTTACTATTCGGAATGACTACACATATTGTCAGCAATCTATGACTTTTACTGTTGGGAATGTACACATATGTTAGGATTCTATAACAATTATTGTTCTGAATGACAACACATAGTGCGGGCCATGAATACAGGGTCAAAGCCTATGCGGATGCATGCTAGGTGCATTTAAGGTACAAAAGCAATGTTTGGAACAAGGGTACGAAATAGCCATTCCGGAATGTGGCTCTAGAATGCGGTTCCGAAATGAGGGTCTGAAATATTGTCAAGAATCCATGACATTTACTGTTCAGAATGACTACACATGTTTTCAGGAATCTATAACTTTTACTATTCGGAATGACTACACATATGTCAGGAATTTATGATAATTATTGTTCCAAATTTAGGTTCTGAAATAGCAATCCCGAATTGTGGCTCCAGAATGTGTTTTTGGAATAGTGTCAGGAATCTATGGTCGTAGTAAATGTCATTATATAAAGGAATTCAAGCGTCCAAACTCTTTACCTTGTTAAATTTACTACTAAAAATTCATTTCTCATAATCCAAAGAAATGGCATATTGCGATTGTGGCTCTCAAGGTATTATAAGGACATCAACGACTAGAAATAACTCTGGACGGCTTTTTTACACTTGTCCTAAAGAGGTATGTGGGTTATCCTTTCATTATTTTTCTTTGAATTAATAGTACTTTACACAATATACGTCATGTATTTGATCTTAAATTTTCAGGGACCACAGTATGCGTTTATCTGTTGGGTTGACAAAACAAAAGACAATAATTCATTGATTATCAGTAACTTATTTCGATCGAAGAAGAAACTTGAAACCCAAAATATTCACTTGAAGATAGCATTAATTTGTAGTTGGATTTTCTTTTTTGGAATTATCGTGTATAAGTTGTAAGATTTATGTTCATCAACTAAGTTTCTGTAACGCTTATTACTTAATCTATGTAATATATAATGTTTGCTTGTTGTTATTATTACTATGGTACTTGTAAATTATGTTTTTTCTATCTTTGTAATATGTAACAAATATTAGGGCAATAATAATATTCTCCATTACACAATGCAAAACAATTACAAACATAATTAATTCCAATTATATTGGCAATAAAACAAACATCAAAGGGTCCGATATTTCCCATTCTGATGGAGGGGAAAGATGGTGCACAGTTTGTGACTGATAGGCAGTCTGAAACACATCACCCCCAGTAATATATTTGAACCATATCAGGTAATTCATAGATGTTCGAATGATGTGATGCCAAAATAGCATGACCGCAAGCTATACCCAAACTACGCCATCTCCAACATGAACATGTATGACGGTTCAGATCAACAACACAAGTTTTTTAAAATCAAAAACTCGATAAATGTCGTACGGGAGCGTAGACGGGATCTCTGGCGGGATCTTTGTTGCTTGCCACCAAATAGACTTTTGCATCATTTTATGAAGCACCATTTCAGCATACAGGGTGAGTACGTTAGTCAACCTCCCTGAAAAGTAAATATGATCAAATAAGGTTTTTGTACAAGTAATTAAATAAATTTAATATTGCACCCAGTATTTTACCTCCCATTAAATTGTGTTGCCTCGGTAAGCATTATTATTGGTACATTGCATTGATTTACCGATAACACAAAATAAATTCAGGAACAACAATGTTGACTACATTCCAATGGATGTTAGGAAAATAGGCACTTGCCCATTTCGCATGACCGATGTTAGCAAGCATTTCACGAGCGTCAGGGGTCAGCCAAAGGAAGTTTTCTTCAAAATCAGACACATTATATGATTTGGTTGTCATCCAAAATAAAAGGTTGTAATGTTCTACCAGAGATGCCTTTTGTGCGCATATACTTCAACACACCTTTAGAAGTATACCCATGATAAGAATTTGAGAATACATGCTCTATGCAAGAACTATCGAAATCGTCTGTATTTGTTATCAATGACACTTCCCTACCTTGTCTAAGAGCTTCTTTTAACCTCATCAGGAACCAAGTACAACACTAGAGATTATTTTCCACGGACAGACCAATGATATAGGGAGTGTATGGTTGTTCCCGTTAATAGCAACCGCCATAAACATTGTTTTTAGGTAGTGTCCACTAAGAGGGACACTACCTATGAAGATGACAGGCAAGAAGTGTGGCATCCTAGAATTTAGGTCTAAAATTGTAGACAATCAGTTCACCGCGAACCACTATGTAATCTGACTTATTGAGCTTTAATGCATATTTTGAAAAATATATAGACTTATTACAACTATTATAAGATACCAGATGGTATCTTACTTCCAATTCTGAAAAAATTTCAAACGAATCGAACAACTTAAACTTCAACCCTAGTTAATACGTCTGAAGAGCTGCAATTTTGAATTAAGCAGTTGTGAGCGAAGCAAACATTCAAGTCTCGTGGTACATGTTAACCTGTTCCCAAAAATATAAAGAACATTCAAAACGGATTTCATATGCAAAAGATACGACCATTATAAGACACCAAACAAGTATAACATTGATTTTCTTTAAATCTGCTAAAACCATTTTTATCCGTTGAGGCACTTCCACACCTCAGATGGATATTCCAAGAGCGTTT